TCTGCGCCCGCAAGCCTGGCTCTTGCTTCGTTTCTAGAGCCGCCGGGCAGGAGTGGTGGCCGTAATCTCAGGTTCACTGGGGTGGGGGTGACACCTTGTGGGTTCCAGAGGCCAGACTCAAGGTGAACGTGGGTGACTTGGGGGGCGGGGTGCATCAGCTGTGATAAACGGCATGTTTCGATCGTTTGGTAGTTGGTTAACTTGGTGACATTTGCGCCCAGAGGAGGGCAGTTGCCGCCTGCCTAAAAATCGGTGCCAGCGGCACTTAATCTTCCTTTCCAGTGAACAGCGGCTAGTCTGGGAGGGAAGAATACCCTTAGGGAAACACCCAGAGCCTGCACATATTCTGACTGGAGAATCTCAGAACCTGTTTTGGAGGGTGAGGGGTGGGAAGGATTCGAAGACAAGCACGCGGGGAGAGGTTGGATCCTAGAGTTAATCCCACCTAGCTCGGCCTCTGCTCACGGTCAAGAGTACCATTCTGGATAAGCAGTAACTGATAAGAAGGCGCAAACCGGCTAGGAGGACCACGAAGGAAAGCACACAGTGGCCCACAGTCGGTGGCAGCGTTCGCGTAGTTTGGAGCTCTGAGATCCGGGCATCGCCGCAACAGACTCCTCCCTCCAACTAGTCACTCTTTGGGAGCCCCGCGCCTCAGGGCAGGTGTTTGGGGTTTTGTTTTGTTTTGTTTTGTTTTGTTTTTTTGTTTTCCAGAACAGTCAGGATTTAAGGGGATGCAGACCCTAAGCAAGGAGAAGCGCTGGGAACCCGGGTTGGAGTGCGTTTCGGGGCACGTGGAAAAGCCCGGGAGAGGCTGGGGGTAGCGGCGACGGCGCAACCTGGAACCGCCTGGAGCGCGGGCGGGCAGCGGCTGGTTGCCGCCAGGCCTCTTATTCCAGGCTGGCCGCGGATGGGGCCCGCAGCTCCAGCGAAGCGACAACCAAGGTAGCCGCAGAACGGCAAAGAAACAGAACGTTTTAAAAAGCTTTGACTTACTCTCCATTTCTTGCTCTTTGCTTTTAATCTGCACTGAGTAAAACGAAGGAAGTGGGAGTTGCGTTAGCACGCTCGGGGCCCACACGCCAAACAAAATTCCCTCCTCTTGGGGTCGCTAGTCCTAGAGGCACAGGAGACGGTGAGGGCAAAGGTCGGGCACAGGCGCTACCGGGTTGTTCCCCAGGCCACCTACGAGGTACTGCACCCCTCTCTGCGCTACTTTGGTGCTTGACTGTGCTTGTTTCCACTCAGAAGCTTTATATATTTTTAAAGAAATGAAAAGGCTCTGGAGACCATCTCTTCCTCCCCCTACACTCTGTGGATTGTCCACCACGCTCCCACAAGTGCTATCTCTAAACCTGCAGCCGGGCTGAGGGCTAGGCAGAGGGCAAGGACGTTTGGTCCTCTTGGTGCAGAAAGGCCCTGCGAGACGAAACTTCTCAGGCCATTTTGCCCTTAGAATGCCCCAGACCCCTGTCTCATACTTCCCACTTTTATTTCTACTTCGAAGGAATTTTTCTCAACTAGGACTCACTCAGGCGCCACGAGGGAAGGAAAGCCCTTTATGAAAAGTCAGGGATTTTCATTTGCAAACGAAAAGATCCAGGTTGTTTCTCTTTCACCCAACATTGCAAAGTTTTTTGGTGGGTATTTGGGGGGGAGGTGGTTTGAACGGGAGATTTTGTGGTTTTGAATCCCAGATAGGGCAGAAGTGCTTAATTCCCTGCCTTTATGTTTTACAGAAGAAGTTCACCGGTGGGGTGGGGTGGAGAGGAAAGGGGGGGGCGAGAAAATTTAGGACTCCTCTCTCCACCGCCATTTGTTGTCTGAGAATCCTAGAGGGAGAGAGGAACCGTAGTGCGATCCCCGTTTCAATCCTGGGGTGCCTCCTCACCCCGATTTAGTAGTCCGAAGGAGTGGGAGGAGTTCCCTGCAACCCGCGGGGTCAAGAAGTAAGTGCTGTGCGTCCGGAGCCGCTCGAAGTCGGAGGGCCTCACCCCAGAGGGCCTCACTCGAATGCCCCCTGCCCATCCCCACGCCCGGAAGCCCTGGAGCGCCTGAGCCACCTCCGGGGAACCAGCCAACTGAGGTCCCACTTCCTCCGTTGGGTAACGTTCTCTGCGGGAGCTCGGCGGTTAACCGCGCAGCCGCGCCCGCTACGCTGGCCTCGGCACCCTGAGCCTGCCGGAGGGAGAGACAGACAGTCTGGCCGCGAGGAAGGTCCACTCTGTAGCCCGCCCCCGCATGTAGGCGCTGTCCTGCACCTCCGGAGCTCGAGGCCCAAGGAAATGAGGGCTGCGTAGACCTGGCCGCGCACTTCTCTCATCCACGTTCCCACTCAACGTCAGCGCTGAGACCTGTGGCACAGAGGAGCTGGTCTGAATCACCGTTTGGGAGAGATGGGAGTTCAACTCCCCGTCTACAGAGAAGTAAACTGAGGCCCAGGCAGCGGAGGAAAGGCAGCTGTGGAGCTCAGTGGTTAAGAGCGAGGAACTGGTGGTCGGAGAACGGAACCTCAGGTCCACCAGGTAACAGCTGTGTAACCCTGGATGAGTTCCATAGCCTCTCTGAGGCTTAGTTTTCTTATTGATCAAAGGGGATAGTGGAATCCTAGCGTCCTCCTCATGGGGTCATAAGGATTAGACAGGAGGATAGTGTTGGTTTATGCGTTC